TCAGTCTCCATACCAACCACCCAGCAGAGCTGGATAAAAGCATATAACTAGTTATTGTCTTTAGATTAAAAAAAAAAAAAAGGCATTTCTCAGTAAAATAGTAATAAAAGTAAATGCCTAGATTTATCATCTGGTATTTAGAAGAGCCTCTAAAGTATTGAGCACGGAAAATCAAGGACTTGGGACCATTTCCTCTCTTCCTTTCTTTCAAGAATTTTATTGAGTACCTTCTCTAGCCTTCAAACATACAAGGATAAAAAAGACATAGTCTCTATATTCAGGATTTGTACTCAGAGGCACAGGGAGAGTAATGAACATCCAGGAGCAATCTCTAAATTTGTGTAAAATCAACTAACCCCTTTCCAAGGTAGGTGTGAGGGTGGGTGGATAGGAGTGATCCACTACCTGGCCTTACCTGGCTCCTTCTTGGACTTGTAACCAGGGGCAAGTGTTTCCCACTGTCCCACCTCATTATGCCTGTCATTCTAGTGATGATATTCAGTTAATTTTACACTATGGTGTGACAATTGTTGTAACTGAGGTAATCTGGGGGTACTTTGGACACATGGGGCATGTGCATTTAAATCAGGTTTGAAGAGTCACAGATGACTTCTAATTAGAGTCCTAATTGTCAACTAGTATAAGGTGGGGTAGCATTGGTAGACGTAGGAAGACAGAGAAGCTTTGGATACAAATGCTGGCTCTTTAAAATTTATGTTTAGGATTGCAGAGATTTTTAACCACAGGTGATTCAGAACTCCCCCTCTCTAAGGTACAACTGCTGAGGCATTCAGATAACATCATTCTCTTGTCATGCTTCCTTGACAAAAGAAAAACACCCAGAAAAACAAACCCCCCAGCTGTCAAACCAATTCTGACTCTGAGTGACCCTGTAAGTCCAGTAGAACTGCTCCATAGGGTTTCCAAGACTACAATCTTTATGGAGTCCTGGTTTGGTACCATAGGATAATTACTCAACATCAAGGTTGGTTTGAACTGCAAGGCCAGTGGTTCAAACTCACCAGCCACTCCTCACACGGGGTCACTATGAGTTGGAACCGACTCGACAGCACACAACAACAACAATCTTTATGGAAGTAGACTGCCACATCTTTCTGCTACTGTGTTCGAACTGCCGGTCTTTTGGTTAGTGGCAGAGTGCTTTAACCACTGTGCCACCAGGGTTCTTTTCCTTGATATAGTGTTCTGTAGTTGTGTGCTATTGAGTCAGTTTTGACTCACAGTGACCCTGTATAGGATTTTCATGGATCAGCTGGTAGGTTTGAACCGCTGACCTTGAAGTTATCCTACAGCGCCACAGCAGTCATAAATTGTCAAGGATCCAACCTCTAGCTTTTCCATCCCATTTCTTTTTATAACTATACTTGGACAGTGTGTCAGTTATTTGCTTATTCTTCATTTAAAAACTGTCAGCAAGACTCAGTGAAAGCTGTGATGCATAGCTCTTCTTTGCATTGAACTTAGCATAGAAAAGTCATCTATCTATTTGATTTTAGAACATTAAAAAAATCCCATCTAATTCTTGCTGTTTCTCATGCAACATCATTATCCTCCACCATACATATAAAAAAAGGAAACCACTTTTATATTTAAAAAACCCTCTTAAATAGCAAAGCTTTGAACTTAGATACAATAAACACTAAACTGTGAGCCACAAGGTCCACAGTTCAAGTCTTCCACTGCTCTGATGGAGAATGATGAGCCTTTCTGCTCTCTGCAAGATTTAAAGCCTCAGAAACTGTATCTAGGGTCACTATGAGTCAAAACTGACTCCACAGCACTTAACAACAACAACAACATGACCTCAAGGTACTGCATTTTCATTCTTCTGCTAATAATGATGAGATTAAAACAGATCTCATCACTTGTATTTACTAATACTGTTGCTGCTAAGTGCCATTGAGTTGATTCCAGTTCATAGCAACCTTGTATAGAGTTTCCAAGACTTTAAATCTTTGTGGGAACAGAAAGCCTCATCTTTCCCCCACAGAGTGGCAGGCAGGCTTGAATAGTGGACTTTATGGCTTGCAGTCCAGAGCTTATCTTTTGAAACCACCATGCTCTCTTACTAATATTAATATTGATTAAAAATAAAGTGACATGGCTGCATCCACTATTGTTTTCAAAGGCCAAATAGAGTATTCAGTAGAATATACTAAATAAATTTGCCAGCAAGAAATTACAGCTGCTTTATATATTTATATACATATATATTCTGCTTGATAGATATTGTTTGGAGAAGTCTAGTTTACACATTCAAACATTTCTTCCTTTTTCTATTAAATGATTCTGCTGAAAACTATCTATCAAGCTTCCTGAAAAAAAGCACAAAAGATGTCTGATTGAGCTTTGTTCACACTGAATGAGGTCGGAGGGGGTGTGGCTCAAAGAGGCAAGGAAGCGGAAGTGCCAGACATGAGTTTTGAAGTTAGAAGATTCCATTTCAAGCCTCAGTTCTTCCTTTACTAATTTTCATCATCTACATATAGGAAGAGTAATCATGGTCTACTAAAGTATTCAGTGACCTGAATCCTTTAAAGGATGTAAAACATCACATGTACATAATAATGCACTATATTTATTAGTATAATAATGTGTTGCTAGAAAAATATGGACAATGGCTTTTGTGCCCTAAGAGTCTATTGGGAGAGTTGGATACTTGAGTGGAAAAGCATATAAAAAACAGGATTAGCTTGATTTTAGCTGGAACTCAGTGAGAAATCATATGTATTCCCCTCATCCTGTACATTAATTTTTTTATAAGATGATAGAGGGACCTCTTGAAATGACTTAATTTTTAATATATTACCAGGAAGGCTCTTTCTAGCCAATACCCTGGACACAATAGAGAACGGAATAAACCCTGCATGGAAATTTTTGCTACATTCTTCACCTCAACCACACAGCATTTTAATTTGAAAATAGAAAGTTGATTTTTTTCTAAAAAAGGAAAAAATTAACTTCTGTTTTCAGTATTATTCTTTGAGCTTGCTCAAGTATATCATCACATTAACTGTTGTGCATGAAACAAAAAGGGCATATTAGTATATTGTAATTTCTGTATGATATTAATAGCTATTATTATTTAAAAAAACATGTTTTTATCTTAAAATTTATAAAAGCATTGTTTCCATTTTTCACTGCACTTAAAATCAGAGAATTTTATGCAGACATTTTGATTAATGGAACGAAGTGAGTTACAGAATAGTGGTAATCATGTGATCACAGTGAAAGGACAATTGTGATTGGATGCCTGTATAATGATGTCATAATAGATTTCTAGAAGTGGGCTGGAAGTGACAGCACTTGCCTCTAGGGAAGGCAGTAAGAGAGTATGTGGAAGCCAAGGATGGTGACTTTCTTAGTCAGCCTTGAATACTAATATTTTATCTGAATCTTTGGAATACTCACCCAGGTATTACTGATGTTTCTGATTTTGCCTTTTTAAGGATAATAAAACACATAGGGGTGATTACAATAGGAGTCATTTATGCCTAGCACGTCATCACTGCTGCTTCCTGATGGTGACTGGACTTCCCAGTGGCCACACATACTATATTCCCAATGCACATGAATAATAATAATAACACCTAGTGAACATTCTAAGAAGTATAACTTAATTCAGTGATGATCCAAATATCCTACATACATTTCACTAGAGGACACAGCAGGCATCCTTGAGTTCATACAAGCGATTGACAGGTATGGGAAGTGCTTTGGGAAGGTCACTCCTGGTAGATGAATCTGACCAAGGCAGGTGTGATTTATCTTACTGAGCCGCTCCACTGCACTAGAAATGATGCTCAACTTTTTATCCCTCTTCTCTTGTTTAACTGTTTGACTTGTCTCTGAAAAACCCAAAGACAAAAACATTCAACTGTGTACTCACTAAGTCAAGGCCAGTGGCTCTTTAAAGAGTTGGCTAATCCACTACCACCTAATTACCTCACAAAGTTAAGCCAGGATAGAAGGCCTGTCAGCAGATTGCATTTACAACCCTTGAAGGAAAAATCCTCTTTCTGTTTTCACTTCATACAGAAGATGTTTGCTAAAGGAAGCATTTGGCAGTACTTCAGATGCGTGCTGTCTGGTAGTGTTGATAATGCAATTCTTTTTTTGATTATGGTAGCATCTCTAATGCTGTATCACCCATGTTTCAGATCATGCCCAAACAGACTGTGTTTATTGACTGAACAGAAATAATTCATGCAATTGCCTCAACTGTTTAACCTTTTCCCTTGCTAGAAACTTAAAATCTGGCTACAGACTGATTTTACATTGAATGCTAGTGTTGAAAGATGTCATGCTCCACATGGTAAACCAACAAAATGTTCTTCATTCAAATAAAAGGCCAGTTGATCTGAGTGAAGGCAATTGGTAGGTTTGGGCAATTCATTAATATTTGTCATATGTTTTAATATGGATATTAAAGTAGTATACAGATAACTAATATGTAGCTTTAAAAGGTATGTTTTCTTTTAACTAAGAGAGTCAGAATCATATGATCTTAAAAGCTCCCAAATGAAAATCCCACTTATGGAGGACTACACTTTAAAATAGCTCCCAAATAAAAATGCACCTAGGGAGATAAAGTTTACAGGCATCCCCTCTTCCCTCTTTCTAATAGTAAGAAAAAAAAATCAATGTGGCTTGATACCACATTATGGTATTCTTTGGCATGTAATCGTCATCCCAGAAATGATACAGGTTTTCAAACTCCTAAAAAGTCTATCAAAATTGCACAGAGCAACAAGTGAAAAGTCACTGGAGGAAATATTTATAACATAAACATGCTGGCTATTGTTTGTACTGACTCCCAAGGGTGAAGTATCTTCTGATGCACAACTGAGCAGTGTAATCAATATATGGTTAACCAATATATGGTTTGGAAGCAGGCTGCCATCTATTGCCTATTTGCAATTATAATGAAAGGAGGAGATGGAGGAGGGTACAAATAAAATGAAAACGCATTTACTTACTGTGTTAAAGTTTGGAAAGAGCCCAACAGCAGAACTATTGTCCACTGGAAAAGACATAAATGGTTTGATATCCAGTGAAGGCTGCATCATCAGGGTCGGTGTGCGCACCAAAGCAGGCAGGGTAGTAGTGTGGCATGTACTGCCTGCCAAAAACAACAAAAAAGGAACTCAGTATCTTTTCCACAACCATCTCCTTCCCAAACCTAAGTTGCCAAAACAAGACCATTGAGCTGCAAGGACAAGTAACAAGGAAACCGCACAAGATGAGTAAATACAACGGAAAGGACCTTCTTTTTTGTCTAAGACAGTGATGCAGAATGTGTCCCTACAGCAAGGGTTAGGGCTGCTTGTCGTTGTTGTTATGGGCCGTGGAGTCGGTTCCAACTCATAGCGAACCTGTACAGGGTTTCTGAGGCTGTAAATCTTTACGGGAGCAGAAAACCTTGTCTTTCTCCAGCAGAACAGCTGGTAGTTTCGAACTGTTGACCTTGCAGTTCACAGCCCGATTTGTAACCACTATGCTTTAGGGCTGCTTAGAGGGAACGAATATACTATGTGCATGGGTTCTACAGCACGTGGCCCAGTGTGAGGATACCCTGTAGTCTGACAGGTTGCCTTTGACCAGACAAAAAATGCAGGAGAGCGAAGGCAGCACACTCAAGAAGCCAGAGGCGCTTTCCCATTCAGTCACTGAATGGCTAGTGGGCATGCTTTATGCAAATCAGAGATAAATACAGGGTTTTTACAAGGGGAAAGACCTTGGATACTTCTAGTTACTGCCTGCTCCCTGGAAAGCTATGACTCAAACAACTTATTTTCCACAAAAACAAACTGAACGTTATGCTCAGTTTGAGGGAATTAGGTAGTCTAGACATTAGAGAATGGGAAAGGGATGATTACGGCATGGGTGGGATCATGATATCAGAAGATAAGAAAGGTTGAGATAGGAACTCAAAAATTTGTTTTTAACTTTTCTAACAAACTTTGTATTATTATTAAGAGAAACTATCCCTTTTAACAAGGAACTCTGGTAGTATAGTGGTTATGAATTGGGCTGTGAACCACAAGGTCAGCAGTTCGATACTACCAGCTGTTCCGTGGGAGAAAGATGAGGCTTTCTGCTCCCATAAAGATTTACAGCCTCGGAAACCCTATACAGGGTCACTAGGAGTCGGAACCGACTCCATGGCACATAACAACAACAACATCCCTTTTAACAGTTATATTAGCGATCTCATCTTTAGATATTTAGTTTAACTCATGACTGTTATTGTTAAGTGCCTTCAAGTTGGTTATGACTCATAACAACCCTGTATAGGGTTTCTAAGGAGTGGCTGATGAATTTGAACTGCTGACCTGGTGATTCAAACTTACCTTAAGGTCCCGTGCATTATCTGACAGCACTATGCCATGACTCCAACCCATGACGAGGAGGTTTAAAACATTCACTAGTCGCAAGAATTTTTTTTTAATCCATAGCATCTGGGAGTGAGGTTCTGATCTACCCCTCTTCCCTTTATTATTAGTCTATAATTTGACAGCTTTATTGAGAAATTCACTCAACACACAATTCAACCTTTAAAGTACATCATTCAATGTTTCTTAGTACATACACTGAGCTGTACAACCATCACCACCATCAATTTTAGAAAAGGACACCACCCCTAGAAGACACACTGCACCCAACAGTAGTTACTCTCCATTTCCTTCCAATCTCCTTGTTGTTGTTAAGTGCTGTTGAGTCGGTTCCGACTCTTAGCAAACTTGTATAACGTTTCCAAGAAGTGACTGGTGCTGTTAGCTGTTCAGTGCTTAACCTACAGCGCTACATCAGGACTTCCCCAGGCACCCCCAAATCAATTTTGTCTCTATGTTATTGTTGTTAGGCACCGCTGAGTACATCTCAACTCACTGCAACCTTATGCACACACACAAAAAAACCTATGCCATCATCACAATCCTTGTTAAATTGAGTCCATTGCTGCTGCCACTGTATCAATCCACCTTGTTGGGGGGTGTCTTCCTCTTTTTCGCTGACATTTCACTTTACTTAGAATGATATCCCTCTCTAGGGACTGGTCCCTCCTGACAATATGTCCAAAGTATGACAGATGAAGTCTTGCCATCCTACTTTGCAAGGAGCATTCTGGTTTTACGTTTTCCAACACAGATTTGTTCGTTCATCTAGTAGCCCATGGTACTTTAAATATCCTTCTACAACACCAAAACTCAAATGCATCAACTCTGTGGTCTTCCTTACTCACTGTCCAACTTCCACATACATATAAAGTGACTGAAAATATCATGGTTTGGGTCAGGTGCACCTTAGTCCAAAAGCTGACACCTTAAAGAGGTCTTGTGAAGCAGATGTGCTTTGTGTCTTTGACAACTTCAACCTTTTCTCCATTTAACCTGATGTTATTTATTGCTCTCATGGTGAGAATTTTCGCTTTCTTTGCATTGAGGTAAAAACCATAATGAAGGCTGTGTTCTTTGATCATCAGTATTTTAAGTCTTTTTCATTTTCATCAAGTAAGACTGTATCATCTTTTCATCACAGATTCCTAATGAATCAACCTCCACTCCCGATGCCATGTTCTTCGTCATGTAATCCAGCTTCTCAGATTATTTGATCATTACACAGATTGAATTAGTATGGTGAAAGACTACTACCCTGTTGCACACCTTTCCTGATTTTAAACCATTCAGTGTCCCCTTGTTCTGTTTGAATGACTGCCTCTTGGTCTATGTTGAAGTTTCTCATGAGCACAGTTAAGTGTTCTGGAATACTTATACTCCACAATGTGGTCTATAGCTTGTCATGATCCACATAGTTGAAAGTCTTTGCATAGTCAATAAAGCACAGGTAAACATCTTTCTGGTATTCACTGCTTTCAGCCAAGATCCATCTGATGTCAGCAATGATATCTCTCGTTCCATGTCCTCATCTGAATCTGGTTTGAAGCTCTGGCAATTCCTTGTCAATGTAATGTTGCAGCCATTTAAAAATTATATTTGGCATAATTTTATTTGCATGTGATATTAATGATATTGTCTGATGATTTCCACATTCTGTTGAGTCACCTCTCTTTGAATGGGCCCAAATATGAATCTCTTACAGTCAGTTGACCAGGTCTTCCAAATTTCCAATAAGTTGACTAGGTCTTCCAAACTTCTTGGCATAGATGAGTGAGTGCATCCAGTGCTGCATCAGTTTGGTGAAAGATGTCAATTTGTAGTTCATCAATTTTTGAAGCCTTGTTCTTTTGCCAATGTCATCAGTGCAGCTTAGATTTCTACCCTCAGTTCCATTGTTTTTTGATCATATGCTACCTCTTGAAATGGTTGAACATCACTATTTCTTTTAGTTACAGAGATTTTTGTTGCATTCCTTCTATCTTCTTTTGATGCTTTCTATATTCAACATTTTGCCCAATGAATCTTTCAGTATTTCAAGTCTAGGCTTGATTTTTTTCCTCAGTTCTTTCAGCTTGAGAAATGCTGAGTTTTCTAACTCCAGATATTTGTACATTTCATTGTAATATTTTTGTATTCTTGAGCTGCTCTTTGAAATTTTCTGTTCAACTTCTTTATCTCTTTATGTTTTTCATTTGCTTTAGTATGTCAATACTGGAAAGCAAGTTTCAGAGTCTCTTTTGTCATCCATTTTTGTATTTTCTTTCTTTCTTGCCTTAATGACCTTTTGCTTTCTTCTTGTATGATGTTCTTGATGTCATTCCACAATTCAGTCATTAGTGTCTAATGCATCAATCTGTTCTTCTGTTCTTGAGATGATCTCTAAATCCAGGTGGAATATGTCCAAGGTCATATTTTAGTTCTCACAGACTTGTTTTTAATTTTCTTCAGCTTCAGCCTGAACTTACATATGAGCAGTTGATAGTTTATTCCAGTCAGCTCCTGGCCTTGTTTTGTATGATGTTATGAAATCTTTTCACCGTCTCTTTCCACAGATGTAACCAATTTGATATCTGTGCATTCTATCTGGTGAAGTCTATGTGTACAATCTTTTATGTTGTTTAAAAAAAGAATTTGCAATGAAGAAGTCACTGGTCTTGCAAAATTCCATGTTTTCCCTAGCATCATTTCTATCACCATGGCCATTTTTTCCAACTACTTCTCCTTCCTCTTTGATTCCAACCTTTGCATGCTAATTACTAGTAATTATCAACATCAAATCTCTAAATATTTACCTAATTTGGACATTTCACCTAAGTGGACTCATATAATACAAGGTGTTTGGTTTCTTTCACTTAGCATAATGCTTTTGAGGTTCCTTTTTATGACTGGATACTATTTCATTTTATGGGTACACCACATTTTATTTATCCAATAATCAGCTGATAAATATTTGGGTTGTTTTTACTTTTGGCTATTATTAATAAAGCAGATATGAATATTCATGTACAAGTTTTTGTGTAAACATGTTTTTAATTCTCTTGATTATATACCTAAGGGTAGAATTGTTGGGTTATATACAGTAACCCTTTGGTTTTAGCCTTTGATGAGCAGTCAGACTGTTTTCCAAAGAGCTGAATCATTTTATATTAACACCCATAGGGTACATGGAGTTAAATTTCACTTGGTGTGACTGCATAGGACCAAACAAAAAAATCTATGCCTAAATTCCCCTACTGACTTCAAGAAGAAATTAGAAGCATGGGAAAATGTTTTAACTATTAAAATTTTCACAAGTCTTTCTACACAGTATTCTGAAATCATTAAAATTTCTATTTCAATGAAACTTTTTTTTTGTTTTTTTGGTGATGAGTTTCTGTAATAAGTGCTGCATCATATTTCAAGTCATTCTCGAACATTATAGGAAATAGTGTTAATGGAATGTCATAGCTCATTTACATTGATCCTAAAAACAGAAAAAGAGTGAAAGGTGCCTGATGTATTTATCTGTAATGGCAAATTTTTGGAGCAACACTATCCATTAGGGACTATAGAATAAGGTTCAGCAAAAAGAGAATCTGCCAACAGTATATATCAAAGAGTGATTATTTTTCCTGATGCCAAAGCCAACACTCTGATCTCAGTATGGCATTCATATAATCACCTTGTATTTAAATACATATTGTACTTCTAAATAGGTAATGTTACATCCATTGCTAACTTTTGT